AAACGGTGAAGGAGCATCACAGTGCTGGACAGGTGAAGGAGCATCACAGTGCTGGACAGGTGAAGGAGCATCACAGTGCTGGACAGGTGAAAGAGCATCACAGTGCTGGACAGGTGAAGGAGCATCACAGTGCTGGACAGGTGAAGGAGCATCACAGTGCTGGACAGGTGAAAGAGCATCACAGTGCTGGACAGGTGAAGGAGCATCACAGTGCTGGACAGGTGAAAGAGCATCACAGTGCTGGACAGGTGAAGGAGCATCACAGTGCTGGACAGGTGAAAGAGCATCACAGTGCTGGACAGGTGAAGGAGCATCACAGTGCTGGACAGGTGAAGGAGCATCACAGTGCTGGACAGGTGAAAGAGCATCACAGTGCTGGACAGGTGAAGGAGCATCACAGTGCTGGACAGGTGAAAGAGCATCACAGTGCTGGACAGGTGAAGGAGCATCACAGTGCTGGACAGGTGAAGGAGCATCACAGTGCTGGACAGGTGAAGGAGCATCACAGTGCTGGACAGGTGAAGGAGCATCACAGTGCTGGACAGGTGAAAGAGCATCACAGTGCTGGACAGGTGAAGGAGCATCACAGTGCTGGACAGGTGAAGGAGCATCACAGTGCTGGACAGGTGAAGGAGCATCACAGTGCTGGACAGGTGAAGGAGCATCACAGTGCTGGACAGGTGAAGGAGCATCACAGTGCTGGACAGGTGAAGGAGCATCACAGTGCTGGACAGAAGGACAGAGGCAAATGAATTTACAAGTAGTACTGAGAGTGTCGAACCAGGTAAGAACCAGATATAATGGATTTAAGTTGGATAAATTTAGATTTACAAAGGACATAGATAAGTACTGGTTTTCGAACAGAGTTGTGGATGCGTGGAACAATCTACCGAGTAGAGGGGTCGAGGCTAGGACCTTGGGTAGCTTAAAAAAGAGATTGGACAGATATATGAGTGGGAGGGGCTGGGTTTGATTGGTGTCAATGGATACGGGAGGATATTCTTGGGTAGCTTTGGGTAGGGGTCGTTTTGATAAGGACCTACCTTGTATGGGCCAGTAGGCCTTCTGCAGTGTTCCTCCATTCTTATGTTCTTAAGTGTCTAACAGACAAAACACAGAAGGGTAAAAACAGAGTCAGGTTCAGAATCAACGAGGCAAAAACCTTAGTACCCCAAGGCGCCTATACTGTTTCTTAACCTCATAGCGGACATAAAAGCACTCGCCACAGTTTCCTATCATCATTTGCGGATGATACCAAAATATAAAGTAAATTCACCTTTGGAGAAAACATAGGAAAAGTGCAATAAGGTATAAGCAAAGTCGTTCTATGAACAGTGAAGAACATCACGACGTTCAATAGTGGCAAATACCAACTACTTAGATAAGTGGCTCGTGGCCTGTTAGACAAACCTTTCGCTTCAGACGCTGAGTCCGGGTTCGATTCCCGGCTAGGGTAAAAACATTGGGCGTGTTTCCTTACACCTGTTGTCCATGTTCACCCATCAGTAAAATGGGGAGCTGAGTGTTAGTCGGCTGGTGTGGGTCACATCCTGAGATAAATTGACCTAATTTGCCCTGATGTCAGCTAGACCTTGTACATGTACTTGTAGAAATAAATATTATTACGGAAAAAGAATGAAGACCTCAAAACGGACACTGGATACAAGACGCAAGAGGGTTACCAAATAGAAGGAAAGGAACCTGTGAAAGATCTGGGAGTAATTATGTCAAAAAAGCAAAGAAAATAAGGGAAATGGCATCGTTGGTGACACTATGCTTGTGCTCTCTCCTTTAGAGTATTGTTCGGTGTTGACAACTGTTCAGGGCAGAAGAAATATCGGAGGTGGAACAGATAGAGATCGTTTACGGCCCACATAAAACCCATAAAGTATTTAAATTACTGTGACGCCTCGAAATATGTACTCACTGGAGCGGAGAAGAGAAAGATAAGTGATAATACATATGTGGAAAGCGCTTCAAGGCCTTGTCTTAAATCTGCACACTGCCACAACAACGAACTGGAGTGGGTGATAAAGGAAGTGCAAAATAAGCCCAGTGAAAGGCAGGGGCTCCGTTGGCACAACAAGACAACATAGTATCAACATCCCTGAGCTCAGGCTGTTCAGTATCTTACCAGAAGATATCAGAAACATTACTGGGACCTGTGTATAAGTCATCAAGAAGAAACTGAACAAGTATCTTCACCACGTGCCAGATCAACCAAGTTGTGATGGTTGACTGGCAGGCGGTGCAAAATACCCCCAGTGAAAAGCAGGGTCACCGTTGGTACACTAAGAGAAAACTCCATAAGTGTCCGGGGCCCAAGACTGTTCAACAGCCTCCCACCATGCATAAGCGGAATTATTATTAGGCTCCTGCCTGCCTTCAAGAGGGAGCTGGACAGATACTTAGAGTCGGTGCCGGATCAGCCGGGCTATGGTTCGCACGTTGGACTACGTGCAGGCAGCAGTAACAGCCTAATTGATCAGGCCCTGATCCACCGGGAGGCCTTGTCGTGGACCGGGCCGCGGGGGCGTTGATTCCCGGAATACCCTCCAGGTAGACCAGATCAACAGCCTAGTTGACCAGGCAAGTCTCTTCAGAATCTTCCAAAAACAGTGTCATCAGCAAAAAGCAACTGTGACAACTCACACTTTGTGTTAGATTCTTTATCATTTAATCCCACACCTCTTGCTAACACCTGAGCATTCACTTCTCTTACAACGCCATCTATAAACATATTGAACAACCTTGGTGACATCAGGCATCCTTTCTAAGGCCTACTTTCCTACCTAGCCAGGAACTGACAGGACCCGACCAGGACCCGACCAGGACCCGACCAGGACCCGACCTGGTAGAAAAACTCGATATTTATCAGAGGTGTATCAAAGGAAAGTTATGAGTGTGTATGACAGTGTATCACAGTGTATCACAGTGTATCACAGTGTAACACAGGGTAACACAGTCTATCACAGTGTATCACAGTGTATCACAGTGTAACACAGGGTAACACAGTCTATCACAGTGTATCACAGTGGGTATCACAGTGTAACACAGGGTAACACAGTCTATCACAGTGTATTACAGTGGGTATCACAGTGTAACACAGTGTAACACAGTCTATCACAGTGTATTACAGTGGGTATCACAGTGTAACACAGGGTAACACAGTCTATCACAGTGTATTACAGTGGGTATCACAGTGTAACACAGGGTAACACAGTCTACCACAGCGTATTACAGTGGGTATCCCAGTGTAACACAGGGTAACACAGTCTATCACAGTGTATTACAGTGGGTATCACAGTGTAACACAGGGTAACACAGTCTATCACAGTGTATTACAGTGGGTATCACAGTGTAACACAGGGTAACACAGTCTATCACAGTGTATTACAGTGGGTATCACAGTGTAACACAGGGTAACACAGTCTATCACAGTGTATCACAGTGGGTATCACAGTGTAACACAGGGTAACACAGTCTATCACAGCGTATTACAGTGGGTATCACAGTGTAACACTGGGTACCACACTGGATAACACGGTGTATCACAGTGGGTATCAGTGTATCACAGTGGGTATCACAGTGTATCACAGTGTAATACAGTGTTTCACAGTGTATCACAGTGTAGCATAGTGTATCACAGTGGGTATCACAGTGTAACACAGGGTATCACAGTGGGTATCACAGTGTAACACAGGGTATCACAGTGGGTATCACAGTGCAACACAGGGTATCACAGTGGATAACACAGTGTATCACAGTAGTATTACAGTGTAACACAGGGTAGCACAGTATATCATAGTGGGTAACACAGTGTAACAGTGTATCACAGTGGGTATCACAGTGTATCACTGTGTAACACAGTGTATCACAGTGGGTAAAACAGTGTATCACTGTGTAACACAGTGTATCACAGTGGGTAAAACAGTGTAACACAGTGTATCACAGTGGGTAAAACAGTGTAACACAGTGTATCACAGTGTATTACAGTGTATCACAGTGTATCTCAGCGGGTATCCCAGTGTAACACGGTGTATCAATGTATCACAGTGTAACACAGTGTATCAGTGTAACACAGTGTATCACAGTGTAACACAGTGTATCACAGAGTAACAGAGTGTAACACAGTGTATCACAGTGTAACACAGTGTATCACAGTGTAACACAGTGTATCACAGTGTAACACAGTGTATCACAGAGTAACAGAGTGTAACACAGTGTATCACAGTGTAACACAGTGTAACACAGTGTATCACTGTGTATCAGTGTGACACAGTGTACCATAGCGTAACACAGTGTATCACAGTGTATCAGTGTGACACAGTGTACCATAGTGTTACACAGTGTATCACAGTGTAACACAGTGTATCACAGTGTAACACAGTGTATCACAGTGTATCAGTGTGACACAGTGTACCATAGTGTAACACAGTGTATCACAGTGTAACACAGTGTATCACAGTGTAACACAGTGTAACACAGTGTATCACTGTGTATCAGTGTGACACAGTGTACCATAGTGTAACACAGTGTATCACAGTGTATCACGGTGTACCACAGTGCAAGACAGTGTAACACGGTGTATCACAGTGAATCACAGTGGGTATCACAGTGGGCATCACAGTGGGTATCACAGTGAGTATCACAGTATCACAGTAGGTATCACAGTGGGTATCACAGTGGGTATCATAGTGGGTATCACAGTATGACAGTGGGTATCACAGTGATTATCACAGTATCACAGTGGGTATCAAAGTGGGTATTACATTAGGTATCACAGTTTCACAGTGGGTATCACAGTGGGTATCATGGTGAGTATCACAGTGAGTATCACAGTTCGGCTCACAATGGGTATTACAGTGGGTATCACGGTATCACAGTGGGTATCACAGTGAGTATTACAGTGGGTATTACAGTATCACAGTGGGTGCCACAGTATCACAGTGGGTATCGCAGTGGGTATCACAGTGGGCATCACAGTGGGTATCACATACCTTGGTTAGGTTGGGCTGGGTATGACGGTTTCTTCATCCACTCAAACGGTGACCGCACTTGCTGTGGGCGTGCGGGCGGTGCGACGGTGGGTGGGGATGCGGCCTCCTGTGTGGCATCGCTTAGCGGCAATCCATTGTGCGGCGACTGGCCGCCGCCGCCGCCTCCGTCACCGCCGCTAGCGGCCGGAACGACGCTATCGCCAGCGTAGTCGTGGTGGGCATTGGGCAGGTGGTCTACCTTCTGGTAGTGCGGGTAGTTGGGGGATGCGGGAGCAGTGTGTGCGGCTGCGGCACACGGCGAGGGTGTGTGCGGCGGTTGGTGGAGCCCGCTGGACGGTACCGCTTGCGGCAATGGTGATACACCGCCGCTGTGGTGTAGAGATGGCGTCCAGTCTTCGTATCCGGAGGGTGAGCGCTGTTGGCAGTGGGCAGCGGCGGGGTGGTGGGCAGGTGCCATGTACATGGGACTGTGCCAGGCACTGCTCTGTAAACCGTCGGTAAACTGCCCCGCCGCCATGAACGGCTGCAGGTTACAGTTGAGGTCTGGCGGTGCGTACTGGTGGTGGTGGTGGTGGTGGTGGTGCGGGTGGTGGTGGTGGTGGGCTGGTTGTTGCTGGTAATACCCAAAGTACCCAGCAGTGTGGCTCTGCTGCCCAACCACCGGGTGGTGTGGCGGTCTGTTGGCAGCGGGGTACATGGTGCGGTCAGTAGACTCGACCCCCAGCACCATGGTAGTCAACGACACACGACCACCATCACACACACTCCACGACCTGCTCGTGACCCTTTCAAGAACGACAATGTCTGTGGGTGGTGGGTTAGTAACCCAGGTGGCTTATGAAGCCACGATATTCCTTCACTTATGACACCTAAGACTGATTGACAGGTACCTATTTACTGTTAGGTGACGAGGGTGCAGCAGGTGTCAGGAGACTTACTAAAGAGGACAGAAGTATAGTCAGAACTGCTCTTCTGCTGTACACACAGCACTGCTGTACACACAGCAATACTGTTCACACATAGTTCTACTGTATACACAGCTCCACTGTACACACACAGCTCTACTGTATACACAGCACTGCTGTAGACACACACACAGCACTGCTGTAGACACACACACAGCACTGCTGCACACACACACAGCACTGCTGTACACGTAAGAAATAACTTTTAAACTTCACTAGTCACCGGCCGGACCGAGTATCGAACCTCAAACCACTTAGAAACGGACTCGCGCGGGTTTATCGCTCCTCGCGAATGTTATCAGAGCACACTGGAGACCCTTAAAAAAAACACCGAGTACACAGTGAGTGTACTGGAGTGTACGAGAGAGAGAGATAGAAACAGACAGACCTGGGGAACGGTCTGGCAGACAGATATGTGGT